TTAATAAACAGACAAGAAAAGCCGCTTCCTTAGATGAAGAAGAGAATGGGAGGCTTTGCGATGGTTGAATAGTGGCAATGGTGGTTGGGGTTGAATAGTTATGTAATCATCAGTATCGGTGCTCTAAAAAGTGTAAGTCGTGGCTAAGCATGAAAGTCTAATTTCAAGCTTTACGAACATTGGCGATGTCTACATGTAAAATAACGTTTTCTTATTTTTAATATTATTTCAATTTTTAATTATTTTAAAAATCATTTAATAATTAAAATAATACATACTAAATATCTAAAATTAAAATACTATATTACTTAATAATTTCTAAAATTAGTCAATTATACAATTTTCAAATTTTCAAAATGCAAAAGTTAGACTCTTTTTTTTTCATTGTTTCAATCTTCAACTTTTAACTATATAAGTATTATTTGAAATTTTCTAACTTGTTTTTATTTTTGACTTTTGTACGGATAAAGTCATTTAAAAACTTGAAGCTAAAGTTAAATAAAAGGCTTTTAAAAAATGAAAATATAATAAAAAAATAATAAAGCATCACTATGTACTCATTGTCAAGGCATTGCATTTTGCCCGAGCCTCGTTCTCAAGCACCACTTAAGCGACATTTTTAGAACACTGATTAGTGTCAGTGAAGGAGTTATAAGTGGTGATCTGAATTTTTGAATTTAGAAGGTGATGATTGTAGCGGCGAGTGGTTACCAACTGGTGGCTATTATGGTGGAGGAGGATGAATGTGGCATGATCAACTGACGAAGATAACAGTGGTGAGGTCAGGTTTAGCCAGTGATTGTGACGGTCGGCGACTATGTAATAGGTTATTGTAGTTTGTATAATGACTAGTCTTTGACACGTGCGTTGCACGAGTTTTATATTTATTGTATTTTTATTAACGTCAAAATTGTAGATTTTTTACTTATAAATAACTTCTTACATTTTACAAATATTTTTTGTCTGTATTTTTATTTGTTAATAAGTTCTTACATAAAAGTGATTGTTGAAAATAAAATAGTGATAGCAAAAAATATCAACAAATAAAAATATTACTAATAAACAAATT